TTTTTTTTTCCCCCATTGACGAGATATGACGATTGTTAATATATATTGTTCGAGCAATTAAACAGGTACCGTCCAAGAATAAACATTGAATTATATTGTGCATTTCCTCTACCTGTAATACACATAAGCTTTATTTAAATGAAAACAGAGAACAGTTTGAATAATGCTTCTTTACAATGAAAATAATAATAATGCATTTCATCATATTACAGATAATTTAATGAACGTACGAAATGTAATAATAATCTTAATCTAATTAACGTATCTTTGCTATAAAAAAATATGTTACAAACGATTAAAAAGTTTCAGGATTTATGCATACATTTATCAATTTCAGAAAGGAATTGATGACAATTTCGTGTTCAAATCCAATGAAGAATGGCATCAGAGGAATCTATGGAATTCTGAAACGTGATACATTACTTTCTACAAATACATCAGTCTTTGCTACCTAAAGTACAATCAATTGAAAAGAAGAAAGAACAAGATAATTAACGAAATTTATTTAGATGATCGTTACATGAGATATTTCCTTTTCTTAAATGCCTTCGTCCTTATAATAAATATAATACATTCTTGTATTTACATTGCATTAATGATCATGGGGTTAACACTTGAAAGCAGATAGTGAGCACGATGCAAAGAACGGTAAACATTTCTCTTGTCAAAGTTGATCATTGTACAGGGGGGGAAATTTGCTAGTGACTTCTTCACTACTCGTCCCTGTGGATGGGGACCAAGAATTCACCTACAGTCTTTGCTTGTCGTAAGAGGCGATTAAAAGAAAAGGATTTGCCCTTCTCTAGAGTATCTCTTTTTGGAAAATTTTAGAATTTCAGAATTTCAAACGAAGAGGTGTAAGAAATAAAATAACCATGAGAAATTTGAGCCTGGTAATTTAGAAATTCCAGACTCTCTATAGCAGGTTCCCAACCTTTGTTTTGATTATGCTCCACCTAAGCATCTCTAAAATCCTGATGCTCCATCGCAATTATGTGACATATAATTCTTATTATTCAAAAAGTGAATTTTCGACGTGGAGGAAGCTTGGTGGAAGGCCATTAACTTGGTCTAAACAAGCTTTCAAAAAGCATGATGTCCATGAAAAAAATGGAAACAATTCACTGTTAATATCTCATTCTCAAATTACCCCCTCCCGCCTTAGAAAAAATCAAATTGCTGCCCTGTGGGGCGTGGACCCAACGTTGAGAAGGTACTAGCACGGCTCTACAGTAAGTGGAATATTTCTGAGGAATCCAATCGTCATTCATCGAAGTTTCAAACGACTGAATCATTGAAAATTTACTCCACTTTCGTCGCGGTCTGTTCGTCGTACTGGACCGAAGGCACCATGGGTGGCTTAAATCCGTACTCCATCTTGGATTGTCTGAAGCTGCCGGTGTTCCCGACAGCAGTTTCTTGCCTCGTTCTTCTCAGCGTTCCTTGGACAGCGTCCGGTGACGAGTACAGGGACTTGGACTGTATTCCGATGGAAGTTTTCCTTGGCACCGGGCCGACGTACTCGTCCTTCAGCTTGTCCTTCTCGGACGTCCTGCTGTAAGCTAGCAAATTACCGTTGCCCACCGAGTAAATCACGGAGTGGGGATACTGAACGCTGTACGAGGTTGCGAATTTCTTCGGCAACGCGTGCACCAACGTCGATTGCCTGGCGGCGTGAGGACGATTCAAGTTCAAGTATCCTGGACTGTAAAACTGACTCGATGAATTGTAATAACCTTGCTCGCCTGCGTCAGTCCCGTAGACTGATTCTACGGGCGTCTGAAAATTCTGTCTGATCGGTGATTGCTGATAAACAACGTCAGGCTGCACGTTGTAAATCGGCACCGACTTGACGAGTTTCGTGCTCTCCAAGGTGTACGGCCTGCTCTTCTCGATCTCGATCGAGTACGGCCTCGGCAGATGCACCGGTTTCTCGACGATCTTCTCCACCACGGGCACGGGGATCGGGACCGGTTGAGGCAGCCTGAAGTGAATCGGCAGAGGTATAACGAAACGCTGAACGGCCAGCGGCACCTTCTTCTCGATCACCTTCTCCACGTGGACCGGATACGGGATCCGTATCTGCTTCTCCACGACCCTGTCTATCGGTATGTGCACGGGAAATGGCTGCGGGATCGTTATCTGTTTCTCGATCACCTTCTCCACCGCGTATGGCACCTTTTTCTCCACCACGTCCACCGTCTGCGGCACGTGAATGTTCTTCTCCGCCGGATGGTGATACGGCTGCGACATCAGCAGATTCCTCAGATCGGCCGGCGGCTCGCCGGTAACTTTGGTCAGCAGAATCTGCTCGGGCGCCTCTGGAGTTATCTGAAGATTCTCCGGACTAGCCAAACCGCCTGGAACACTCTCCACTCCTCTCGGCGGTTGCGCAACAGCGGCGGCTAACTCTTTGCCTGCGGTTGCCTCGTAGCTGCCCTGTTTAACGTTTATCTCGGGCACTCCTTGCAGTTTGGAGTGTTTGATCGTTACCTGGTCGTACTGGTTGCTGCCATCCGCTTGCTCTTTAGCACCGAAAACAACTGTCGAGGATTTGGTTTCGACGGGGCCGCTGCCCGCTGAGTAGACAACGTCGTTGTCGTTCGCGTTGTACTCGTAACGACCACGTTCTAAGACACTTTCGTCCAGAATCTCGTTGCTCCTGTACACGTTCACCTGATTCTGCCACTGCTCCTTCAGCAGCTGACCTCTACCTGGCTTCCTCTGGTCTTCTTGGCCACGCTGTTTCACCAGTGGCAGCTGCTGGACGTTGGGAACGAACTCCACGGGGTAGTGGATCTCCTGAATGGGCGCCGTGTGAAATACCTCCACGGACTTTTGGATCTCAACCGACTTGACTGGGCCGACCTGTTGCGAGATCTGGGAGCTCGAGTTTCCCGGGGCGTCGCTCTGAATCACACTCGGCTCGCCGATCTCCGTGGCCTCTTGATTCTCAGGCTCGTCCTCGTGGTACAGTTTCGTCAAGGTAACCTGACCGTTCACCAGGTCTTGTCCCGCGTTCATCAGGGCAACGCCAACCTGAAGAGGGTTGAGAACGACAGGCGGCGCCGCTAGGTAGCCCAAGTTTTCCGAGACTTTCGGCGTTACCGATTCCACGACCGCTGGCCTCGATACCTCGTTGTTTTCGTTGCTGTAGTCAGTTGTGGTAGCGTAGGAATATTTCTTCTCTCGCGGAAGATCCGGGACCACGATTGGGCCGGAGAATTTGCCCAATGAGGACGAGGAAGCATCCGTGATGTCGACGTGATCTCCCTGCTTGTCAGTTTCCTTCTGCTTCAAGCTTCTCTGCAGCGCTGCGTTCTTCGCCGCAGAGAAAGAGAATGCGTCAGAACTCACGTTCAATTTCCTCACGTAAGGACGGAAGTTCTTTCTGTATTGTTTCCGTTGATCATCCGCC